AGTCATCAAACACAGACTTTGTGCAGTGCCAGGAATGATGAAGCGGAGCCCTGCCCCTGGGGACCCCATCTGCTGGGGCACAGGAAGAGAAGGAGGCTATTAGCTCTGTGTGTGACGGGTGCTGCCAGGGATGCTTGGCACATAGAGGGGCCCCTAACCATGTCTCTAGAGAGCAAGGGAGACTTCTTGGAGGAGGTACCACCGCCAAGGTGACCCAGCAGGATCAGGAGTTCACCTGGTGAAGGTGGGAGAGCAGAGGCGGGATGGTCCCGATGGAGCCTGCGGGAAGGCTCGTGCTGTTCTGGAAGGTGGAATGCTGGGGCCCCGAAGCCCTTCAGCACTTCGTGGGCAGAGATGAGGCTGGGAGGTGAGTGGGGAAAGGGCCATGGGGGCCTTGCTGGGCCCACAGTGGTGGGACGTCCCAGGTAGAGGGAACATCTCAGGCAAACGCACAGGGTGCATGGGCGTGTGGCACTTTGAGAAGCTTCAGTGGACAGCCTGTGAGAGCAGCTGGACCTGGAGTGTCCGTCCACATGTGGGGCAGGGACAGAAGGCGGGCAGGATGTGGAGGGGAAGGGCCTCGGGAGGAGTTTCCATTTCAGTCCTGTGGGTGAGTGGGAGCCACAGAGGGATTCAAGCAGGGGCGGTCTGTGATCAGGCAGGTTTGGGAAGGCCACTGTGGTGACAGAACTGTGGAGGACTGACCCTGGGCTGGGGGTCTGGAGCCAAGGCAGTGGCTGAGGAGTTAGCTGGGGGTGGATTGGAGAGGCTTTGGGTGGCAGATCCAGGGAGAGGGCTTGGTGTCTGGAAAGGCTCTAGGCCAGCAGTGCCCAGTCTCCAGTAGGCATCGGACCGCCCGGAGGGCTTGCTGACGCAGAGCTTGCTGGCCCCACCCCCAGACAGCTGCCCTGGGGCCAGGAACCTGCATTTCTAAGAAGCTCCCGGGCACCACCGCTGCTGGTCAGGGCCACACTTTGGGAAGCACGGCCCTTGGCTGAGGGGACGGGGCACGTCCTTGCAGCATTGAATTTAGAAATGCTGTGGGATGTCGTGAGGAGACAGGAAGCTGCCAGCGGCCGTTGTCCCACTCTGTTGCTCTGTGAGCTTCTTGCAGCTGTCTGACTGTGACCTCAGGCTCTCCCGTCTGACTTCCCTTCCAGGTGGCACAGCCCTGAGCTTCCTGGTGTTGGTGACAGGCTGCACATCTGTGGGCAGAATTCCAGATGCCGAGATCTACAAAATCACTGCCACCGATTTCTACCCTCTTCAGGAAGAGGCCAAGGAGGAGGACCGCCTCGTAGCCTTGAAGAAAATCCTCAGCTCAGGGGTGTTCTATTTCTCATGGCCCAACGACGGGTCTTGCTTTGACCTGACCGTCCGGACACAGAAGCAGGACGATGACAGCTCTGAGTGGGGGAACTCCTTCTTTTGGTGAGCCCCCCCTCCCAGATCCCACAGAAGGCAGGCTCTGGCTGGCCCCTGAGACTTTGGCCGCCACTATGCATCATCCCCGGGATCACGGTGACCTCTGGAGAGCTGTGATCCACGCCTGCTTTCTCTCAGCACAATGGGGAGAGAAGTAGCCCTGAATCCCCCACCCCTGCAGACTCGGGGAATGTGTTCAAAGTGGTCCAGGGTAGACTGAGAAAAGAAAATGTGCCCCCTAAGTAAAGAGCACAAGAGCCCATGTCTGCCTGGTGCGTCCTCTGTGCCGGACACCGGGCCGACGCTTCTGCCTGGATTAGCAGTTGGTCTCAACCGTCGTGGTTGTCCTCCAGGGTGCAAATACTCACCACTGACCTTGATAAAGCATTATGTTCCAGGCACTATTCTGAGCTCTCTGAGGGTGAGGACTCATAGAATCCCCATAATAATGTATGAGGTAGGGTCTGCTACCCCATTTTACAGATAGGGAGACTGAGGCATGAACTAGTGAGGGAATTTTGCCAAACTTCACAGACCTAGTAAGTGGCAGAGCCAGGGTTTGAACCCAGGCATTCTGGCTCCAGATCCCAAGCTGTTCATCACAAAACTGAACCAGCCTCAGCCACGGGGAAACTGAGTCAGCTTGCCCGTGGTGAGGCTTATTTCTGCCCCTTATTTGTGGAATAAATAATTTGTTTAAAATTAAAATAAATTTCCCTTTGCCCACACAGATGGCATTTGCCATCACGGGGTAAATGCTCTTTGCTTGGTGCTCTGGATCCCCCACAAGTGCATTCCTGGCTTCTGTGGGGAGAAGGGGACCTTCACCATATTCCTGCAGCACTGGGTGCTCCCTGCCCCCAAATCCTCTTTAGTTCTCTGTGTTGTTGAGTCTTTTGGGCAGTACTGTGCTCAAACTGTAAAGCACATGTGAATCTCCTGCTGACCTTGTTAAAATGCAGATTCTGATGCAGCAGGTCTGGGCGGACCTGAGATCTTGTATTTCTGACAAGGTGCCGGTGGTGGTGCTGCTGGTCTGCAGACCTCAGGATGAGTCGCAGGCTCTAGGGGATGGCATTTCTGTGAATCGCTAGTTCCATATTGCAGGGACCAGCATCTGCACCTAACGGCAGCTGATCTCAGGTGTGAAGGGGCTGTGGGTCATGAGGGGTCTTTGTGCTGAGGTCATGAAACCCTTTTAAACCAGGACTGTCAGGTGAGCAGAGGTGACAACTCTCAGAGGCCATGACATTCTTTGAAAGCTGTGGCAATCCCTGAGGTGTCTGGGTTGCCCCAGCACCTTGGTAACTGCTCTGCTTTTATTCCGGCTCCATGCTTGGGGACATGAAGGACACAAAACATAGTAAGAGAAAGAGAAGATTCATGAAGGAAGGCAAGAGGGGCTTGAGGAGGGGCTGGTCCCCATGGTGTCCCTTGCTGAATCGACATCAGACTGTGTCTTGTGCTGGAGAGGAGGAAGCAGCTCTGGGGTGGTGCCAGGCTGCTGAGCCGTAGCAGCCTCCAGGGAGTGGTGTTTGGGCTCAGGGTGGAACCCACAGAACTGACCACGGGTGAGTCACCTGGGCAGAGCTGTCACGGGCCTAGTCTCCCCGGCCCACTGTGTTGTGGTGCAGTGTCTGAGGTGTGGAGGCCCACAGCAGGAGCCAGACAGAGTCAACACTGAACGCGGCTAGTAAATAAGTGAAGTCATCTTTCCGGGCTGGTTATTGATCACATTGATAACTGCTTCCCAGTACAATCAAGTCCTGGGATAATCTCAAAGCTCTGTTTTCCTTTATAGATTTGGGTATCTTCCTCCTAGGATATGAGCTGTCCTCCCCCAGAGGGTCGGGCTGTTGCCACTAGAAACGGTTTATTTGAGGGTTGTCCGTTTGGTAAAAGATTCCTCCTCCTGACTGCTGGTGACAGTGGCTGTAGCAGTGTGGCTGGCAGACTTTGGGATATTCTGGAGGCTTTGCCTTGATGCCATGTGCAGATTTAATGTATTTGTTACTAAAACTGGTTTGTCATCTGGATTTTAGAGTGATTCAGAAGAGGGAAATGTGTTTTTGTAAAGTAATGGTCATTTTTCCAGCAGAGGAGTGCTGTGGCTGTGACAGCTCAGACAGGGTCAGATGGCGGCCGTGCTCCCTGCGGGAGTAAAAGTGACTGTGGTCACAGTCAGGGAGGCTGGCCTGAGAGCAGGGAGCTTGGAGAAGTCCCCCGAGATCGGTGAGAACTCACAGCACAGATTTCCAGCAATGGGAAAAAGCTGCTGTCTTTGAGGAAGGCTCAAGGGCAGGGATCGTGTTGCCTTTTTTAAACAAGTAGAGCATTGTGATCTAGATTTGCTTAATACCCTGTAAGAGAGGGTCTCCTGGTGACCATTCCTGCCTCCCTGGGAGCCAGTCACAGATCTCAGAATGGCACCACTCAGGTCCCCTGGGCGTTGGGGAGGCCAAGCCAGGTGGGGACGAGAGAATGACGTGGCCGTTCCCAGGCACAGGTGTAAACATAGGGCCTGCACAGGGAGAGGTGCAGCGTGAAGAGCAAGGCTCCGAGCTCCATGCCACCACTTCCTGGCTCTGTGACCTCGGGCAAGTACTTCCCTTCTCTGTGCCTCAGTTTCTTTATCAGTAAAATGGGACACTGATGACACCTTTCCCAGAGGGTCATTTCAAGGAAGAAGTGAGGTAATACATCCCAGAGCACTTAGAACGGTGCTCGGTGCACTTGATGAATGTTGGCTGTTCTCTCCACCACCGTCATCACGGACTCCGGAGCCCAGAACAATCCTCCAGGAATGGGGAGGAAATACGGGAACTTTGGTTAAATTTTATTTTCATCTCATCCTTTTTTACTTATTTTGGATTGCTTTGTAATACCCTCGTCATACTCACCTCATGATATATGTATGTATATACGCATATAATTGTATGGATGATATAACATACATGATCTAAGTCTATAATTTAAATAACTGTGCATATATTATTTAATGATTATTGTTATCATTTATCATGATCGTTATTTAATCCTAAAACGTAATTAAACTTTTTACTGATGGGGTTATGGTAAAAAAATGTGGAGGCCACAGGTCTAAACAGAGGCTGTTCTGAAATTACTTGAGGCGCGTGACTGGCGTTCACTGCAGCTCTGTTTGCATTTGCTGGTGCTGACGACCTGGTCGTAGTCTGGGAAAGGACTCCTTGCCCCTTCCTCCTGTACAGTCACAGTGGCCCTGCTATATGGGGTCTCTCTGAAGCACAGGAGCTTCCCGGGTGCAGAGTCCCTTGGGGAACAGTGTATACTCACCCCATCCTTACCCAGGGCGCCGGCCCCTGCAGGTGAATCATCAGTACTTGCTTTGGGTGCAACTGTTTACTGGAGGATGTAAGGTGACCTGAATTGGTGTGGGGCTTTGTTTTGCAGGAACCAGCTTCTGCACGTGCCCCTGAGGCAGCACCAGGTGAGCTGCTGTGACTGGCTGCTGAAGGTCATCTGCGGGGTGGTGGCCATCCGCACGGTGTATGCCTCGCACAAGCAGGCCAAGGCCTGCCTCGTCTCTCGCATCAGCTGCGAGCGCGCCGGCGCCCGCTTCAACACCCGCGGCTTGAATGACGATGGCCATGTGTCCAACTTCGTGGAGACAGAGCAGGTCAGTGCCCAGGCCCACCTGTGGCACCGAATGGTTCAGAGCTGGTGCAGCTCATGCAAGCATGCTCTCCATTTGGTGCAGAAGAGGCCCTGATGTATTCGAGGTGATTTCTGATCGTGGCTGCTCCCCATCACTGGAGAACAGCACGTGTAATTGGGGTTCTGCATGAAGCTGTGGCCTGTGGTTTGCGTGGTGTATCTTTTTTGATTCACATCTCATGCCGGGAAAATGTTGCTACCTGAGGTATCTTTAACTAAAAGGAATCAGGAATTTTTGGCATGGTCATGAAGGGTGGCAGTTATTCCAAGAGCAGCTGGCAGATGAACCCACAGGGTTTGAAAATCTTTTTAGGACAGAAGTAAGTAGATCAGTACAGTGGAAGGATGAGAGCAGAAACCATTGTCTTTTATTCTAAATCTCCAGAAGCTTCAGCCTTGAAGCAAGAATTCACACCTGGGAGTTGTAAAACCTGCGTTTTAAGCAGCAGTTGCTTTCAGCCCCCACAAAATATAACTGTTTGCTTAATTTCTCATCAGCTTTTTTCTGTTGAGGTTTTTTTTTTTTTTTCTCTAACATGCAACCTGTAGGAAAGGAAAGGCCCCCCACAGGCACAGGTGCAGTATTGCTGTGGGTGGCAAGCGTCAGACACCTGTGTTGATTGCATGATGGGATGGCTCCGCAGCCCGCCTGCCTTACTGCTGCTGCTGGGAGAGGCGTTCCTTGGAAGGACTTTGGCTGGTTTAATTCAGCACAGATTTGAGCACCTGCCTTCTGTGTGTGGGCTTCTGCGAGCTTGGGCTTCCAGAGGCAGGTACCAGGAGGAGGAGGCTCGTCCTGGAGTGGTGCTCAGTAGGAGGGGCATTGGAACAGGTGCCCTAAAATGAGCAGCAGATGCAATTTCTTGCCTGTGACTCTGCCCACAATATCTGCTCTCCTGGATGTTGACAAGGCTGTTAAATCAATATCTCTGGTTAAGAATGAGAGAGAGAGAATATGTGGCCCCCAAGTGGAGGCTGTTTTCTTTCTTCTTGCTGTTGCCTGCAAGTGGAAACCCTTCCCTTGCTCCCACGTCCATCTTCATCACGTCTTTTCCATCCTCATTCCTTTCCTGTTGCTGGTCCTCAGATCATTCAACTCATTCAACAGATCTTTACTATTTACCACCTGCCAGGGCTGGGGGCTGAGCTGGGAGCAGGGTGCTGAAGGTGCAGAGTATGTTTGCACCAATCTCAATGCCAGAGACCGTGAACTTAGTGATGAACCAGACTCCAGAGGTCATTGCCGGGCCCTGGCCTGGGTCCCTGAGTCTTGTTCTCCATGCAGCCCCTGAGCAGATAATCCCTTGTTTGGTCCTGGTGTTGGTGGTCCCCAGATTTTTGGATTTCAAGCATTATAAAAAATTGGAGTCTTATCTACTGCATCTTATCCAGTAAGTCATTGGGGAAACGACTGCCCCCCTATGCCATCCTTTCCTAAAAGACAGGACATTTTAACACCGAAAATGAACGTGGCCTGTATGAGTTTCCCAGGGCTGCAATGAAGTGCCAAAGACATTCAGCTCTCACAGTTCCGGAGTCTGGGAGTCTGAAATCAAGGTGTCGTCAGTGCCATGGTGTCTTCGAAGCCTCGAGGAGGATCATTCCTCTCCTCTTCCAGCTTCTGGGCCCCCAGGAAGGAGGATGTGCTCGGGCCGCTTATTGGTGTTGGCTTCAGGTTGTGTTGACCTGGAGCCCCTGCTAAGGAAATGAGTCCCCTCAGACCTGAGCCCATTCTCATGTGGAAGTGAAGGCCCTGTCACAAGTGCCCAAAAGCAGCTGGATTGCCCAAGCAGTCATCATTTGGCAAACCAATGGTGGCGCTGAACAAAGAGCAGGCTGGTTCCCTTCAGTGGGGAGGTCCCTGCAGGCAGACTGGCTTCTCATGGACTCATTCTCAGGGAGCCAGAAAAGGGGGAGTTTGCAGCCCCCTCCGCTTCTGCCTTGGTTTACGTTTCTCCTGAGGGGAGTAAACAGTCTTCTTTCTCCAAAGCTGGCCGTGTGTGTGTGCATGTGTTGTGGGTGTTTGTGTGTGTTGTGTGTGCCGTGTGTTTGTATAGTGTGTGCATTTGTGCGCTATGTATGTGTTGTGTGCACCGTTGTGCATTCATGTGGTGTCTGTGTGCATTTGTGTGTGGTGTGTGTATCGTGTGCACTGTTTGTCATGTGCATTATTACATGTACTTGTTATGTGCATTGTGCATTGTGCGTGCCATGCGTATGTATGCAGTGTGGGCATTTGTGTGTTATATGTGCACGTATGTGTGTTATGCATGTTTGACTGCACACACACGTTATGCGTGTGTGTAAATGGCATCTTGGTCCCCTAGGGGAGAAGCCTTGAGTCTTTTTGGCTCTGCCATGAGTCACACCTGTGGGCTTGCTCTGCAGCAGTGACTCACCATGCAGAAAAACAAAACCAAAAAGTCCCTTCATGAATATTTGGCTACTGAAGATAAGGCCACTGACTCATCCAGGGAGGTCAGGATGACTGTGCATGTCCTGCTAAGAATGCAGACTTGGAGAGAATTGGTTTGCAAACACTGCATCCAGAAGCAGAGGTTGAGCAAAAAGCCTTTTAGGTAAAACTATGCACACACAGTCGTGAGTTTTCCTGCTTTGCTCCTTTCTCTTTATGGCCGTTTGGTTTCTGCTCTGGGACACCCTCCTTCCTGAAATGGCCTGTTTTCCCTTCATGGCCCTGTTGCCTTTCCCGGTCTCCCTCCCCGCCTCCTCTGTTCCTTCTTAGATTCCTCCTCCTTCCCCGGGCCTGAGCCCTGTTTGCCCCCAGCGTTCTGCCCCGTGCCCAGGCTCTTCACACAGGAAGGGAAAGCAGCTATGCTTTTTTTTTTTTGTCCTTTTTGAGACCGGCCACACCACGCTCAGCCAGTGAGCGCTGTGAGCACACCGGTCATCCCTATATAGGATCCGAACCTGCGGCGGGAGCGCTGCTGCACTCCCAGCACCGCACTCTCCCGAGTGCGCCACGGGCTCGGCCCAGCTATGTTTTTTTGAGTGACTGCTCCATGCTGAGGTCCTGCTCCCTCATCTGCTCTTCACAGCATGTCGCCTCCATATGTACCAGGTGACATTAACTCTGTTGAGAGAGCGGGAAACCAAGGCTGGAAGTAGTTAAGGAACATGCCCAGGGCCATCCTGCTGGGCAAGTGGGAGTTTGCAAAGTGGAAGTCAGACCCAGATTGGGTTTATCCCAGAGCCCACATTCTCACCTGCTGCCTCTGCCCCCAGGGACCCCAATCGCCCTGTGCTAAGATGTCATTGCATCTCCCACGAGTGTTAAAACTCTGTCCTTTTGCCCAGGATAGAAAGCACCATAAAGCATCACTGGCGTTGGGTGGTCAGGTTGTGCCCATCACCTGGGGAACCAAGAAGGTGGTCCTGCTGGTAGGATGGGACGAGACTTGGAGTGTTCTCTCTCGTGTGGAGGAGGCAGTAGAGACTTCGAGCATCCTTTCTTCTTGCCCCTGTGGGTGTTTTCGGAAGCTGGTCTGCACAAGTCTTAACTCAAGAGGTACCTGGTCAGATGCTGGAAGTGCTGCTATTAGTAATCAGAGTGAAGGATGATAGTTCTTCAGCTTCAGTCAGATCCTGGGCGTTGGGAAGAGCTGTCTTTGTATGGAAATGTGGGCTGAGTTAGTTTCTTCTGCAGAATCTGAGCTTGTGCAGGTCACACATGCCTGTAAGTTGCATGTACTTAATCTCATTGTAGCCAGTTATGTCTGTAGTAATTGAAACAACCTGCTATTTTATTCTACTTTGTTAGTAGAATAATAGAGGGCAACAAATTTGCTGGTAGTCAATACCTGTGAACAGACAGTACGTTCTTAACTTAGTGCTTTTTTCCTTTGGAGAGTAAAGGATAGAATGTCGGTTCAACAATACAGATGCAGGCTCACATAATCCTGTGATCTGGGGGAGCCGTGGGTCTAATCATTAAGTCCTGCACTGCAGAATTACTAATGCATGTGTGATTTGAGCATGATCTTGCCTGCATGGAAAGCTACCCAGTGAGGGAGCGTGCGGGGAGGAGACGGAAAGGACCAGCCGCGGCGCCCGGGCGGCCCTGCCAGGCCAGGGTAGAGTTGCGCAGATAAAGGCAGAGCGTCTGATAACTGCGGCCGCCTCCCCTGCTGACACTCAGGATGGTATTTTTTATCCTTTTAAAACGCGCTTGCACCCCAATGTCATCGCAGGCCTGCAGGCACACTCTGAAGTAACTGTGCGTGGGGGTGGGCAGGAGGTGCGTTTTCTGAAGGGTGAGTATCATTTGTTTCTCTGCAGGGGTTGTCACATGCGAGCTGTGGAAACTTGTGTGTGTGGACTGAGTGGCGTGTTTAACAACACACTGGTGCAAGGCCAGGACCAAGTCAAGTTCAAGTTGAGTCTGGACTTGAGTTGTCAGTACGAGACTGACCAGTTGGCCGGCTAGGTCTTTTGGCTGTAGCTTGTTCATTTTATTTCAGTTAGTGCTTTTCCAGTGGCTCTCCGCTGCTTAGCCATTTGACAAGGTAAAAATAGAGGGCTCTAAAGAAGGTCATAGTTACGTCCCAAAGCACGTTTGCTTCTGTTCCTAAAATGGGGGCGGGAGGCATTGCTGGTTTTTTCAGGGAGGTAGGCAAGTTTGTGCCATAGAAGTGTGAATTCCCGTGGGCCCTGGGGAGGCACCAGGCCTGAAAGGCCTCGATTCCACTCCAGACCCCTCCTGGGAGGCTGGTCAACAGCGCCCACCCACTGCCCAGCCAGTGGTCAGGGAGCAGCGCCAGCCATGCTGGGCAAGAAGATCGGAGCGTGCTGAAGTCGACTGCCTGCCCTTCATTCCAGCTGGTGTCGGGTCACAGTGGCCAGATCCTGTTACCAGGGCAGGACATTCAGTTTCATTGAAGAGTACCTTTCCCTTTCTGTTTCCTTGTACTGCAGACGATTTACATGGATGATGGAGTGTCGTCTTTTGTCCAGATCAGAGGCTCGGTTCCACTGTTTTGGGAGCAGCCAGGGCTTCAGGTAGGTAATTAAAAGAAAAGTATACATCCACTTGTGTCGGCGTTCACCCCGACTTTCTCTTCAATGGCGGTGGTGTGTTCCTGTTAACATATTTCTTTCATGGCCTAGTTCCTGGTGTTTTTGCTCAGCACGGTCGCACAATTGTATTGAACCGAGCTGTCAAAGTGTATGTGTGTGTCTGTGTGTGTACAGAAAACATATACATGGGTGTGTCATCTTGTGATTCACAAGCGTGTGCGGCGTTCACAGTTGACTCGGATGCTGTGTTGAGATGTCTGCGGAGGAAGTGAGCCATGCAGTGTGCTGGGCAAAAACCACCGTAAGTTAGACCCTAAGTTCAGAGTACTGAGGAGGCTTTCTGAGAGCCCCGACCCTCCCAGAGGGCTTCAGGAAGTTTCCCGGGCCCTTCATGGCTGTGTGGTCGGTCTGACATGCGGTGGAGCCTGTTGTGGAGCCACGTGAGAATTGCACGGAGCTCTCCCATGCTTTCTAAAAATACCCTGGACCAGCCAAAGCAGGTCTGTGGTCAGTGCCAGTGGGATTTGGCATCCTGTCTTCTGGGAAGAGCTCAGGGGTGGGGATGCATTCCAAGAACAAATTTGTCATCAATGAAATGAGTTCTGTCTCCTCCAGGGGTGTCTAATGAGGGAAGTTTGGGGCTGAGTGGACTGGAGATTCCTCCACACTGACGCTGGATCTTCTCCCCTGTCCTGCGGGGACGTGGGTGCATTCAGAAACCCTCTCTGCTGGGACTTCTCTTGTCTTGGGCTCTTCTTACCAAGGGCTCTCGAGTGTCCTCTGTTGGGTTGTCTGTCATTGGTGGAAGAGGCCCAGGGCACCATCTTCCAGGTTCTTAGGGGTGTTAGACACAGCTGGGCTTAGAGTCGCCAGTCCTGGATTCAGCTTCTTAGCCCAAACCTCAACTTGATCCATTGTCAACGGTAGGTGGGTCACTTGTGCCCATGGTGGTCACCACCACACACTGACAGCACTGGTGACGTATCGTGTTGGCTCTCGGAGTGAGATGGATGGATGCAGTGTCTCATTTGGGCTCTGAGTTCTGTGGGGAAAAAAGGCTTTATTAAAATTCAGTTCTTACCATTAGGAAGGACCAACCAAGACACGCAGGGCTGGCAGTGGCGTAGAAGCAGCAGAGGGAAGTGCTCCTGAGGGTGAGGACAGCACAGGAAATGCCCCTGGAGTGCTTCCCGGTGGAGGTTTTTTTGGAAAAACAGCTTTATTGAATATAACTTCTGCAATGTAAACTTTACCCACTTAAAACACACAACTTGATAGGTTTTTCATGCATTGACAGAGTTGTGTAGCCATCACCCAATTTAGCTTTAGAACATTTTCACCGCTGCTAAAGGTCTGTGCTTGCAGGCAGTCACTCCCGTTCCCTCCCAGCTCTGCCTCAGGCCCGGGCTGCCTTCTGTCTCCCTAGATTGCTTATTCTAGACGTTCCAGAAGGGTTGGAAACTTGATTTTCTTTAAATCTGCAGTTTTCCTTTGGAAACTTTGTGAGCTCTGTATTTAGGGGAATGAAAAATAGACCGAATGAGTAGAGTCCAAAAAGGAAACAGGGAAACTGTGTCATATTTCATGTTAAATTTGTAAGATATCCAAAAATGGGGGGGTGCTCAGGATTATAGAGTCTTCGGTAGACTCTGGGACGGACCCTTGAAATTCATCTGTTTCAGCCCCTCCCCCAGCTCAGGGGTCCTTTTTCCAGGACCTCAGAGAGGCTGTCCTCCAGGCCACGCCTGGGATGGCTCCGATTGCTAGCAGGTCCCTCCTGGATCGCGCCGCTGCCTGTCTCTGCAGGGTGTTCCGGGGATGCGCAGGAGAAAGTCCGATGCTTCTCCCTCGTGACTCACCTTCAGACCATGGAGCAGATGTCTCCTGGTCCTCCCTTCCTCCATTCTGTCTCCAAGGCCATCTCTGAGCATTGTTGGCCACCTTCTGTCATATTTCTAGGACTGTCAGTGTTCTGGTTTTCCTATTCTGAAAAACAAAACAAAATTCTTTTGGCATACCCTCTTGAATTTAATTTTAGTCTCCAGCTTGCCCACTGTAATGTTCCAGATGTCGCCTGACTGTGTCTTGATCTGACAGGAACCAGGATGAATGGGACTCGGGTGGCCCAGCTTTTTGGCAGATGTATCCCCTAGATTCTTAACATGTGCTTCACCAAAGCCTCCATTGTTCTGCAGAGAAAACTTCAAAATGCTTCAGCGTTCGTTAATCTTATGAAAGATTTGCTAACCTTCGAGCCTAACATCCGTGTTTATCCTCTAAGTATCATCCGTCATCAGAGAGAGATTTGGTCGTCTTCAGGGGGGACCAGGAGGCAGCATGAAGGGGTGGTCTGAACTATCAGTGTCAAGCCCAAGGATCCGTTCTGTTGGTTTTTCTGCATTTTGAACTTCTTCCCGTCCTTTCCTTGGGTTAAATGAAAAGTGCAGCAATTTGGGGGTGAGTAGCTTGCATCTTAAGTTGTGACATTGTGCCTTCTTGGGAGCTCTCCTAGCGGATCTGGGAGCCCTGCTGTGGATGGAGAGGGGCAGAGGCAGGGCGGCTAGAGAGGGCTGGGGGATGACGATTTGTCTGCAGGTTTTCATGGGAATGGCACCTGCATCACATGCAAGCATCCTGCTCCTAATCACACTTCCCCTTAAGATTTATCATCAGCAGATGACTTTCCTTGAACAATTCTTTACTATGGTACTTACAAAGTGATGATTTTTCACTGCTGCCTCCACATTTATCAGTTGGTAGCCGGCTGTAAGGAAGAGCCCTTCTTTCTTCCCCATTCACGCACGCACCCACCCACCCTCCCACTTACCCTTCCATCTAGTCATCCATCCATCCACCCACCCATCCATCTGTCCAACTGCCATCAGTATAGATTCACAGATTCCTGTTTTATTCATCAGGTTATAATCCATTATTGTCCTTACGTAGTTTGATTGTCCTAGATTTGGCCATTGAGATCCCTTCAAGCTGGCTCCAGTGACAATATGTATTTTAAATTAGTTTCTTTTATACTAAATCGAACTTTAAATAGGTGATTCTAAATAATAAGTCAAATTAGACAATCAGGATAACTCAGATTTTAGGGGGAAGTCGAGGTTCCTGGAGGAGTGGAGGGAGCTGAGAAGTGGTTTTTCGTTCCCTCGCTGGCTTGACTGACCTCTGCGCTAGCGGAGAGTTTAGGGATCTGACCTCTGCCTCGTGGTCTTACCCTGGGATTTCTCTTCTGTCCATGGAGGGATGCCAGCTGACATGGTCCATGCTGCAGTTAGGACCAGGCAGCAGCAAAGCCTCCTGGACCTGAGATCAGAGCGCTGTTAGCAGAGTCCAGGGAACATGACCTTCCAGAGCTGTGAATGGGCCGTGGAGGTGACCAGGTAGCTGCCACAGTCGGTCTGGCTGGCAGCGAGGAGGAGAGTGGGAAAACCGTAGCTTCCTTGGTTTGCAGAGCAGGAAGAATCACTGTTATTTCTCTTTGCTTTAGGTTGGCTCCCATCATCTCAGACTCCACAGAGGCCTGGAAGCCAACGCCCCTGCTTTCGACAGGTAGGGACTGTCTGACACCTTCCCTGGTTCTTAGGAGTCCTCCTCCCGTCAGACCGTGCACGGGGGACCGGGTGTGGCAGGAAGGGAAGGGCCCCAAGCCCTGAATCTAGATCTCCCTTTTGTGTTGATCCTTTATGCAAGAAGGGGGTTTACAAAATGGGATTTTCATTTCTTCTCAAGTTTCCCTGAAGGTTAATTAATCCGTGTTCAGGTAGCACTTTGTAATTACTTTATCTTATCATTCCTTCTGGCAGTAAAGTCTCATCCAATTGTCATAGTTAATAAGGAATAGTCTAAATGATAGGATATTTGTAGCTGTTTGTTTTTGTTTTTAAAAAAAAATATTTTTCCAGGTTTTAAAAAGTATAGAAAGGTATAAAGTGAAAGGTAAAAATACCCTAACTCCCAGTTCCCACTCTTAGAGATTTTACTATTAGTAGTTTTTTATGTATCATTCTAGAAAAAATTTTGACATATATATATATTTCGTTTTTTAAAACACAAATTGGATCATAACACACTGTTTTGCAGCTTGCTTAAGAAAAGCCATTGCTAAGCTGAACTATTTGTACTTGAAATAGATAACAGCTTCCTAAATATTTGCTCTTTTAATCTAAAGACTAATTTTTAAAATTACCTGAGCGAATATAATAAAACTTCTCGGAAGTGATTTTTCAGTGTCTTAATTATTGTACCTGAAGCTTTACTGGGACTTTAAATTTGCTTGTGTACTTTTCTGTTGCCTATGACAGGTGACGGGAACCCAGCTGTGACCCCCTAATTAGCATGCTACAAATAATGGGCTTTACTGTAAACAGATGTGTAAATTTGTAAGGAGAATGCTATTGCTTTTTTCCAGAACACTATTAGTGTGTCCTAAACGTTGTACATATGGAGGTCTTTTGGTTAACATCGACCTGTACTAAATGTTCGTAGGAAACAGTAAACATACAACCGGAAATAAGATTCTGCCTGAAGCTGACCTGAGACAAGAGGAAAGGGTCATTCTGGACTTGTTTCAAAAACCCTCATCTGTTTATGAGCTTTTTTGTAAAAACATGTATGTAATTTAAGCACATAGACTAAAGAATTTTTAGAGTCCTGGTTCTGCATGGCGGCTGTGAGGTGTGTACCTGTGAGGTTTGTACACCTCTCTTTGCTCACAAGCACCCCAGAAGCTGCTTTGCCCCTGGGAAAACTTCCCTAAGTCTAGGGGTAAACTGAGGTGTCTTCTGAACATTGTGAAACAACTTGCTGAAATAGGCTTTTCCAGGCAGCTACTATTTACACTTTTGGCTTACAGTGTGTCTGTTCTATAATGCTTTCTAACCGTGACATTTGACTCCAAGTGTGTGCTCTCACATCCCCTTGGAAGGAGCCACCTGTTTTCTTATTAATTGCTAACCTTGCTCCTCTCATTTGGGAGGAGCACAGTCTTTGGGCAATACATCTCTCTAGAGACCCCAGTTGGGATGGCCACCCTGAGAGCAGGGCTGCTGAGACCTAGAGGGCAGCAACGTGTCCCCGGACTGGCGCACATGCTGTTTATGGATGCCCCTGAATCCTCCTCTCTGGGACATCACCACACCCTCCAGAGACTTTCATCTTTCGATGGATTTGGTCCACAGTAAATCCCTTCTTTCCTACCCCCACAAAAAAAAAACCCTACGTGGATAGTTTTTCTACCCACAGAATGCGTGTCTCTCTGTCAGTGCTACACGGTGCACTCGTGTGACTAGCTGTCTATTGTCATTCTCTTATTTCCATGCTCTGGGTCTTAGGAGGGGTACTTGGAGCAGGCCTTTGGCTGCAGCTGCTTGACAGGATCCTGTCATCTCAGCATGGTGACCAGTTTCGATGGGGGTGTTGAGCTTCGTGAGGGCAGTGCCTAGGTCTCCCTCCGCAGGACGGTGCCCTTCTTTTCATGCTCTCTGCGGGCGAGGACGTCAGGCTGTGTAGAACTACAGGCCCCCCCCTGGAGATGAGAAAGACGCTTCCAAGGGGAAATCTGGCTCCTCAATGTCACGAGAAACTCCAGTGTTCCAAGTAGCTTCCCATGACAGTAACAGCTGGGCAGAGGGAGTTAAGAAGTCCTAAGTGCAGAGTGAGTGGGGCCAGAAGTGAGTCTGCACCGCTGCTGCCCTCGGTGTGGACGCCAGGACTTTCCCCAGAATCTTTTAGTTTATTGCTGATGAGTATATTGTCTTATTTTTAGATTAAAGGGAAGGAAAAACCAGCTCCTGTGTGCCGAGCACTGTTCTCAACACATTCACTCATCCTTTTCAGTTTTCATCCCATTCCCTGCACAGGGAGGTCTAGCGTTGTGTGCAGACGATGGAACCAGCTCAGAGGGGTGGATATTTGAGCAAGGGAGTTTGGGGTTGGTGACAGGGTAGAGGTTGTGAGTGATGAGTAATACTGTTCCTCTTCCAACCCTGGAGTTTGGAACCAGTTGAAAAGTAGGTGCAGGAATCAGACAGGTGGAGATCAGATGTCAGCCTTATTTAATAAGCTGCATTGTGGCATGTGGCTCGGATGGGGAGACACAACGGGCTTCCACACATCTCACCCTAACGTCAAAGTTACTCTCCCAGTGACCAGCAGACCTGGCAACTCGGGCTGCCCCGCCAGAGACAGAGCCCCACGTGTCGGTGCTCAGGCCACAGTACACCTTCCCCACCAACCCAGAGCGAGCCCAGAAGGGCTGAGCCGCTCACGCTGCGTCTCCTCTCAGCTGCCCAGGGCTGCCAGGCACGGCGCCAGCAGCGTCCCTGCACGTAGAGACAGGAGCCCCAGGAGGCACACCCAGCTGAGGCCAGCAGTCACAGGCGGACCTCAACTCAAATGACCGCTTCAAATATGTGTTCTCCCTCCCTCACAGTGCTTTCTTTCAAAGTTAGTAAAATATGTGGTTTCTCTTGTTGGGCTAAAAATGGTTCTTTTGTAATCTTTTTAAATTCTGTTTATAAAAGAAATATGTCATTGTAGAAATTTGGAAAAGAGAAAAATGTTTAAAGAAGAAAAAATTTAAAATCACATAAACCCACCACTTTTGACATTGAGATGTGTTTCCTTCCAGTCTTTTTTCTTTTTTTTCTTTTTTTTTTTTTGTCTTTTTCCGTGTCCAGCAACGGATCGCAACCCTCAGTGTTGCCCCCGGACCGGGACCGGCAACGGGATTGCAACCCTCGGTGTTGCTCCCGCGCCTCGCTCAGCCAGTGAGCGGGAACCGGTCTGTATGTGGGATCCAAACCCTCGGGCGGGAGCGCCGCCGCGCTTCCCAAGTGGCGCACTATCCAGTGCGCCACCGGGCCGGCCCGTTCCAGTCTTTTTTCTATATTGAGGCATAAAGATCACACTATTAAATTACACTTTTGCAAGTGCTTTTTGCATTCTATCTTTTTCCTATGTTTTTTAAGCACTCCATTAAATATTTCTAACATTGAAATTGTAAGGTTACTTTTAAAAAGCTGGTGATAGAGGATAAATATTGGAGTTTCTCCCTAATATTTCAGCAAACGTATTTATTTATTTATTTTTCCTTTTTGTCTTTTTTCGTGACCGGTAATGGGATTGCAACCCTCGGTGTCGCGCCCGCACCGCGCTCAACCAGTGAGCGGACCGGTCTCAACAAACGTATTTAAAAGTAGGTTCTGGTGTAGGAATGTTTTCCTAATGCCTGCAGGCTTTGTCGTGCCTTCTCGTGGTGTTTCAACAGAATGAATTGCGGTACTTCACTGGGAAATTGGTGGCTGAGGTTGAGGGCTGTCCTATCAGTTGAGAAGGATGGGTACCAAGTGAGCTAAGGTTAATCTCAGAGACGTGCACATCGCATTTACAGGACTCTATGCATGAAAGGTCAGGTCACCTGTTCTAGATATCATAGTGGCCCTTATAGAAAGTCCAGCATGTCCGTCGTCTGATATCAAGGTCGTGTAGAAGTCTCATGTTGATATATTCGCTCCCAACAGTGGGATTTTGCGTGAGCAGTGATGGTGGCTCGGAGACACTGGTTTTCTCTATATCGGTCTCATTTTTCCACACTTTGGGTCACGGGGAATGGCTCATCCTGGATCTCTGGTGCTGAGAAATTGTGGTCCTTTCTGTGCCCTCTTCCCTTGAGGGGTGGGATAGGGAGGTCAGTCTGGGTCCAGGTGCTGTGGGTCACTGCCCGCCCTACTGCCATTGCAGGCACATGGTGCTTCTGAAGGAGCAGTACGGGAAGCAGGTGGTCGTGAACTTGCTTGGAAGCAGAGGTGGAGAAGAGGTGCTGAACAGAGCCTTCAAGGTAATGCTGTCCCCTGCTGGCCTCTCCACACCTGGATTGGGGGGAGGGGGAAGAGGCGGGGTCCTGCTCAGATGGCGGGACCTTAATGCAACCCAGCCCTCCTTATGTTTCTGGATGCTTCCATCCCCAGTGCTCCGGCCAGTGAGCATGGAAGCACTACGTGATTTGGGCTCCTGATGCACTCAGTTTAATTGTTACAAGCTGATGGTTGGGAGAATTTGCTCAAATTCAAACAAAGCGTCTCTGTCTGCAGCTGCGTTTTGCCCCTACTCCCCATCAGGGCACTGAGGGCTTAGGAGAGCCAGGTCTTCACCATGCTCATCAAAGAGTTCCTTTTTAATCCAGTTCCTTTTTAATTCCCAGAAAGGGAAAAGGTGGCGCCCACCCCCTCCCCTCACACACATTGACATTGACTTGCTGGGGAGCCCACACCTCCCCTTTCCTCCCTGGCTCTGGCTCAGCTCTGGCCTGGCTCGTCCTGGGTGAGTTCCCGCCTACACTGCAAGGCACGTGTGCCTCAGTTGCTCTGCAAAGCCCTGCTTGGGTCAAAGCAGGGTCTAACCTGGCTTCCTCCTGCTGACCAGGTGCCTTCAAATCTTCCGTCCTTATTTGGGCTGCCCCTGACAGCTGCTGCTGTGCCAGCAGCTCCTGGTGGGCTCCCATGGGCTCCTGTTCAGGGGAGTGTGAAGAGGGGTCTGGATCGGCCAGGAAGCAGCCGGAGCACATGGCTGCATCCTGTCCACCTGCTCCCATGTGCATGCAGCCTCCTGCGTGAGACAATCCAGAAGGGGCCACACTGTCTTTGTTCCTCTCCCAGTCTCCCCGTCCTCTGCTTAGTGGAGAAAACCCTCCCAGTTGAAGGTTTTTGGAGAGACCTAGAAATCAGGCTTCACGCTGGCCGGGAGCACAGGCAGCAGCCACCCTGAACCCTGACCTCTGGCTGTCAGATGCTGAGTCCAGCTGGGGTGCTCATTTCCTTCTGCTTAGAAAAGCCACATTCTTGGAGTGGAGACTTTCTGGGTGCCAATTTTATTTGGCCAGACCTACTTTTCCTGTTTGGTTTGTTGCTATTAGCAACAAGCTCCAGAAGTATCTCCCCTCCCACCCATCTTGGCAGCAGTGCTGGCTGCTTATTTTAAGGAAGAAGAGGGGAAAAACCAAGCCAAAAAAAAAAAAAAGCAGTCCTCACACCATCAGCTGGTGGAAGTGTCCCCTGGCACTAAAGCGAGGTCCACTCTTGTGAGTAGAGGGTCAGCAGGTGGCAGCTGTCCCTTGGCCCAGGTGGAGAGGGCAGGTTCCTTGGGCAGGTAGAGGAGGAGGCAGCACTCGAACTGAGACCTGGCTGATGGCCCTGGCAAGCATGTCCCTCAGCTGCAACAGCTTTGCCCAGACTGAGGTTTATGCACCCGCGGCCAGCCCAGGGCCGTGGTTACCAGTTCACAGCGGGACAAGGCACGTGCTCCGGAGCATACAGCACCCAGCCACTGGTCTTGCTCTTCAGCTCAGCCAACTTCTTTTTCACAGCAAGACTTTCTTGACAATGGCAGCTGAGCATTGATTTACAGTGTTGTGGATGGTCATTTTGAGTCATGCCAGGCCGAATGACCTGAAGTCCCTCCAGTCCTTCAAAGTCTAAGAACCTCTGTCAGGCAGATCCTGCACTGATCTGACCTGAAGCCATGTGGCGTGGGGATGGGTGGCGGCCAGTTTATCCTTAGCACAAGACTGTCTGGTGAGAAAGCTGAGGTGTTGCTGGGCTGGGAAGCCTCATGTTTGGAAGGGCAGTCTCCGCCAGCAGCATCCCGGTGCCATCAGCAGCCCCCTGCTCTGCTTCTCCATCTGTCCCCACTGTCACTCTGGTTCCTGGGCTGTACCACTGCCCCTGACCACCCGTCTCCCGCATCCTGAAGTCTCACCAGGCTGTGTGCCCCGCCCGGAGGACATCAGCCTGGAGACTCAGCTGCTTCAGAGCACACCCGGCAGAGGCTGTGCTTGTCAGGATGGGCCTGGTCACCAGGGCAACGGTGAGCTGGATTATGAGCTCCACAGCTGTGATGCCCTTTCCCTAAGGGCCTGTGGCACTTGGGCCACCTGAAGAGCAGAGCAGTCCCTCCCCTCCGAGAGCCCTGCAGGAGTGTGATGTCCCCAGAGAGCCACACCTGCTCTGGCTTTCTTTGCCCACAGGGGACTTTCTACTCTTTTGCAGGCAAGACACTTCTTGTGGTTTTGTCCCCCTGGGGCCTTTGTCCTGTGCTTCCTGTTCAGGATCAGGACAGCCAATTGCCAGTGCACCGTAAGCTTTGGAGCTAGCCCACATGCTGTAGCGAGCAGCTGTGGTTAGCCACACAGCGCGAGCTTAGAGAGGAAGTTTGCAGTCACCGTCTTCCCTCCCCTGGTCCCCTCACCACCCTCCCCTTTCCCTTTTCAGAAGTTGCTCTGGGCTTCCTGCCACGCCAGCGACACGCCTATGATAAATTTTGACTTCCATCAGTTTGCCAAAGGTGGGAAGCTAGAGAAATTGGAGAACCTTCTGAGGCCTCAGTTAAAGTTGCACTGGGATGACTTTGACGTGTTCACGAAGGGCGAGCATGTAAGTCCACGGTGAGTCTTGTCTGGGTGCTTCGTCTTCCTGCTGGGCGGGAGACTGAGAGTGCCTTATTACAGAGGGTTTCCTCCCCCGCTCCTTAGCCACACTGGTAGTTTCCTGGGTCATGAGCTTGGCGATGCAGGAGTCCTGGGTTCCAGCCTTCAGCTCCCTTCCTGCAGTCAGAAACGTGCTTTTGCATTTTTTGAGTAGAAGGTAAAGCATGGTTTTCTAGCAAAAGAAATGTACTGATAGGGGGACTACATTAAAATGTGCGGCTCGGATGACTGTGTAACTTATCATCCGCCCTGTGACAAGGACTTATGAGAGTGAGTGGATAAAATTACTAATCATAGTGGGTCCCAAATTGCCCAGAAAGCCTGGGGACAGGGCCACTCTGCTCAGAGCCAAGGAGGAAAAGGAAGTCCAGCTTCCTCAAATCACACACAGTTGGTCCCCATTATTTGCAGATTCCATACCTGTGAATGTGCCTCCTTGCTAAAGCGTACTCATAACCCGAAAAGTAATACCCACAGCTCTTTTGCAGTCATTCACAGACATGCATAGAGCAGGAGAACATTTGAGTGCCCCAGTGCACATATTCTCAGCTGAGGTCACACAAGGTGATGCTCTGCCTTCTTTCAGCTCTCATACCATAAACAAGTGTCCTTTTTGCTATTTGGTGCCATGTTTTTCATATTATTGTGCTTTTTGTTGGTGATTCCACGGTTTATAATGGCCCCCCAAGCATAGTGCTAAAGCACTGTGTAGCATTTCTAAGCACAAGAAGGCAGTAGCGTGTCTTAGGGAGAAGACACATGTGTTAGATAAGCTTCATCCAGGCCTGAGTTATGGTGCTATTGGCCAGGAGTTCAGTGTTCATGAAGCAACAGTATATATTCAATAAGATGCCTTTAAACAGAAACGCACAAAGACAGGGTTATGTATTGATCAATTGATAAAAATGTCATGACCAGAGGCTCGCAGGAACCTAACCCATATTTCCCCTAGGAGCAATTCACTATCTGCTAATTCAGTGTTCATGCAACTTTATAGAACTTAATTGCTGTAAATAACAATGACCTGCTGTACTTGTAATGACCTGGGTGTGCAGGCTGCTGAGAGTGTGTTCTGGGGTTTGCCTGCCAGCAGTTCTGGGGACCCATCAGGGTGAATACAGGAGGTCCTGGGGAGCTACTAGGGAGAAGGTGAGGGGTTCTTTGTTGGAACAAGTTTCCTTCGGAGTCGACAGTCAGACACAGGCTACTGTGCTATAGCCACTGCTGTCTCGAAGACAACTTGTAACTGTTTACATTTCTTCTTGTCCTAAGTTTTCAGAAAGGCACTTTGCGAATGAACTGTCTCGACTGCCTGGACCGCACCAACACCGTGCAGTGCTTCATTGCGCTCGAGGTCTGTCCCTGCTGTGGCCTCTGTGCCATCTGCGTCAGGCCCTGTGCCTCCAGCCGGCAGGGTGGCCAAGCACCTTGAGCAGCAAGCTGAGGGTGGGGGAGGTGGGGCAGGGATGCACCAGGGCATCTGGAGAGAGGTTCCCTTGGTGGCTGGTGTGCCCATGGCACCGTGTGCCTTTTCCTCTGTCACAAGCACACTTTTTGGCATGTATCCCAGACACAATGGCCCAAAGGGTGCATACGCCCCTTGAGAAACAGTCCTGTGTGATGATTATCACAACTACACCATCAGGCAAAGGCAGTGTGAGGCTGGGTGACGTGAGCTGGATTGAAGCCTGTGAGGCAGACCTGTGTGTGTCACATGGCCCCGGCTGGCTGCTCACCTCTCGTGACTCACTGCTGGGAGGAGGGGCGCAGGGTCAGCGCTGCCTGCTGTCCAGCGCTGGTGGTGGAGGTCAGGCGGAAGGGGTCAGAGGATGGCTGGGGAAGAGCCACTTTCTCTGCTGGGAGAACTGGTCCTCTGGACGTGCACAGAGTGGCCCACAGTCTGCTGAATAAGGAACTTACTAGCCTGGCGCCTGGTGACGTTGCCCCTAGGCAACTGTAAGGGTCCTCCATGGGAGAAGCCCATGACAATTGTCCTTTACTTCTCCCCCAGGTCCTTCATCTGCAGCTCGAGAGCCTGGGGCTGAACTCAAAACCCATCGTTGACCGCTTTGTGGAGGCCTTCAAAGCCATGTGGTCTCTGAATGGGCACAGCCTGAGCAAGGTGTTCACGGGCAGCAGGGCCCTGGAAGGGAAGGCCAAGGTAGGGCCAGGCCGGGCGGGGAGGGGCGGGGGCCACGCGGATCCCCCTCACGGCCTGTGGTCTGGGCTCGCTGCAGGTGGGGAAGCTGAAGGACGGGGCCCGGTCTGTATCTCGTACCATCCAGTCCAGCTTCTTCGACGGGGTAAAGCAGGAGGCCATCAAGCTGCTGCTGGTTGGGGACGTCTGCAACGAGGAGTCGACAGACAAAGGAAGGATGCTCCTGGACAACACGGCCCTCCTGGGTAATGGGGCTCCCGCGCTACTTGCTGGGGTGTTTACTGCCCTCCAGTGGACACGTAGGTGGTGGGTGATGCCAACCGGCCCCACTCCCCCTACCCCGTGTAATCCAAGGTGGCATCTGTGCTCTGGGCTTCTGGCCTGCAGCCTCATGGTCTGACCAGTTGACCTAAGCAGCTTGCAGTTGTCACTGTGTTTCTGGGAGCCTGTGCTTTCTGGCCTAGAGTGGGAACTTGCTCTTCTCTTATCTTGGCTTGGAATGTTTTTCCATGCCGAGAGGAGTGGAGACATCGAGACGGCTCTGCAAGAGTCAGTGTAAATTCTAGAAGTGTCATGTCTTCCGATGTTAACTCCAGAAACTCGTTCTCGGCTGCCTGGGCTCTTGGTCCCCTTGACAGGTGTCATTTGGCCTGGGGAGCTTCCCATGAGGTTGGCCTCCTGTTTCTGTTGTGGCTCTTGAGAGCTCTGCAGAAAGAGAGAAGGAGGAGGCCACTGTCAGCTCCCGGGGGTGACAGCACCGCCTGGTCTCAGCAGCAAGACTATCGTGATTCCGTCAACAGCTGGAGGTTTCTTTGGGAGAATTTCAATGGCATCCTGTTCCCGGGAGCTGTCGACATTACAGGTCTAAAGGAAAAGGAGGGAAGACCCAGCACTTTTCCTTATAAGAGTGTATAAGTTTTTGTTTCAGAAACTTTTCGTGTTTTTTAAAAATGAACTAGCCCATGTTTAAAATGGTTCCATGGTCGTTTCTTCACTCGTTCCTCCGTCACTGGGGGAATGGGGCTTCTCATGGCCTAGGTTTTCTGTAGTTTCTACCTGGGAAGAAAGCCAGCTTGGTGATTGCCCAATGAAGCTCCTGGTACAATAGGGGGTCTTACTCAGTAGCCAGGCGGGTATGATTTAGAGTATAGTTTCAAAAATTCAACATATGTTGGTTTTCTAGAGGGTGAGGCTGGTTCCATGTAATGATTTTTTAAAGCCTTAAGTCTGAAGTGAAACAAAGAACACCTTTGTGTTCAGGCATGCAGGGTGGAAGGTGGAAAGTGCAAACTGGGTGTTTTGGTTGGTGAGACAGTTAAAATTGTGTGTGTGTGTGCGCGTGCACATGTGTGTGTGTGTGTATATTTTAAATATGCTCAGTTGCAGTGTCCCTTGCAGTTTAAATTTCTGCACGTTGCTCTTCGATGGGCCTGTGGAGTGAACGCATGGGCGAGGTTTCCCCCGTCGTGAGGTTCCCTGTGACCTGACATCACAGGCCTCTGTGGCTCTAGTTGAGGGCACGAGTGTGGAGGGGTGGCTTTCCGGTCCTGTGTTTTTGTGCCTTTATTGCAGAACTGCCACCGGAAGTGTAGTGCTTATTGTGGTTTTTAGCCCTTTATCATCTTCCTGAGGAGCACTTTGGTCCACCTCTATTGCTCGAGAATCGTCTTTCTCTGATAGCCAGCCCCTCCCGTGTTTTTGGTAGATGCCTGAGGTTTGGGGCTGCAGGGACATGTGCCTTTCTGTGCCTCCTCACAGTGACTCCCAGGATCCTGAAAGCTATGACTGAGCGTCAGGCCGAATTCATGAAGTTCAGACGGATCCGCGTGGCCATGGGGACCTGGAACGTGAATGGAGGAAAGCAGTTCCGGAGCCACCTCCTCGGGACGGCGGAGCTCACAGACTGGCTGCTCGACTCGCCCAGGCTCTCGGGAGCTGCGGAGCCCCAGGGTGAGAGCGGTCGCTTTGGTGGCGACAAAATACAGATTTCATTTCACCTGACGTACCAGGCTTGGCCTCAGTAACAGCCACCGCCTGGGGGAGTTTGGTGTTTGTCGTTTTCAGTGCTGTGAATGTTTACAAAGCACCGTGGTCTGACATTCCAGAAACTGCCTAACAAATTAACCATCTGACTCCTTTTCTCTTCCAAGTGTTTGGAAGAGTCATCAGATGGTGACTCTCGCTTTCTGCATACGGCAATCTTGTAGTAGTAGGTTTTGATCAGATCCTTTTTGTCGTCAGGAGGCAGACGTGTCTTCTTGGGCTGTGTCCCTGCAAGGAGCTGGGCTGGAGCCACCACGTGCTTAAAGTCACTGCCCACCAAGAGCGTCTCACCCCTGGCTCTCCCCAAACCAACTCTGTTCATCCGCTCTAAGTAGTCTCAAAATAATTGGTGTTCTTTTTGAGAATAAAATAATCCCGTCTGGCACCTCACCTTTTGTCTTATATGGGATACTTCAAAAAATTCATGGAAAGATTCATAATTATCTTTTAATTCTGTTTTTTGATGAACTTTTTGAAGTACCCTCATATCATGGCCTCAGAGCTCAGCATCTGATGAAGAAATGATGCTGTCCAGCAGCGTGTCCCCGGGGACTTGGGTCGAAGCCTGTGGTTGGGTTCTTTGCCTGTTGATGCGTGACTTGTGGCCCTTGGACACACGGTGGACTGTGTTTGTGAGCACATTCTCCACAGGTGCCTGGCGGTGCCATAGCCCTGTCCCCTTTTGCCACAGACACTGTCTGCATCCCCCTTTCTGCCTCAGGGCAGGTGCAGGTCCATGGTTCAGGGTCACTGGGGCTCTCTGTGTCCTTGGTGGCCTGTGCTGGTGTTGGTGGTGCATCCTGAAACCACTCTGAATGCCCCCAGAGCAGGCCCTGACAGTGCTGAGAACACGTCGTGCAGCCCTGGCTGCAGAGTCCCCTCAGCCTAAAGTGACTCCTCTCTGTGTGCCTGCGGGTGTGCGGGAGCTGGGGGTTATTCTGCAGGGGGTGTTTATTGGGATAGACATTCATGGGCTCACCAGCACTCCCACTGGAAACCCACCAGGCTCAGGAGAAGGCAGGAGTTGTAGTTACTATTGCCAGTCCAGTCAAACAGAGGGACAGGTACTGTTTTCTTAAAAAAATAATTAAAAAAAAAAAAACACAGAAGCTTTAAGCTGGTGAAGGCAGAAGCTCCAGGTTGCCTATTTGGCCAACAGAGAAGGAAGCAGCCCCCTGCCTGGCCTTTTGCCGATGGAAGCTGGCTCCTTCCAGCTGGAGCCTGGGGAGGGATGTGTCACTTTCTGCTGCAGCTAGAACCACGTCTGGGCCTGATGGCTCAGGCCCCTGAGTGTCAGAGGACGTGACTAGAGAGATTAAGTGGATGACTGTAGGGATTGCATTCAAAGGGAACCAGGGAGTGGAGGAAGAGCTTTAAACCAGGCATTTCTGTAGCAGATTCCATTGAGCAGTTGCCAAGTAGCAGTGGTGTCCACCTTAAGTTAGGCTGGATTTTCTCTTTTCTGATGACCAGATGATGGTCCCTTGGACAGGACCACGTCAGTCAGTCACTAACTGGGTAGTGCTGTGCTCCGCACTGTGAAGAGTACGTGGGAGGCACAAGCTAAAGCATGCGATGGTGTGGCCCCCGAGTCACTTAGGGTCTGGCTGGGGAGATTGGTCATCTGGAAGGACAGGGGAGTGACAGTTGTGTGGTCTTGCGACACACCAGGTAGGGCCAGGTATTTTACCCATGCTGTCTAATTTATGCTTCGCAGCCACCTGGTGAGTGTGGTTGCTGCTCCTTTTGCAGAGAAAGAAACAGAGGTTCAGAGAGGTTCATAACGTGCCCCAGGACGTAGCTGGAAAGGGCCGCGGATGGTGTGGGCCACAGTGGGAGTGAGAGGGAGGGTGGCTCTGCGTGGCTCTTCACCCGAGGGTTGAGTTGGGGGGACTTGGGCAGTGACAGTGTGGCTCAGAGAGGGAGATGGGGAACTCCATGATTCGGTGATGCAGGACTTGGCAGTTCTGATCTCTCATCTCCTGCCTCGTTCCCCAGATGACAGCAGCCCGGCTGACATATTTGCCGTGGGGTTTGAAGAGATGGTGGAACTGAGTGCAGGAAATATTGTTAATGCCAGGTAAGGGCCTGGTGTGGTGGTGGTGGGGGGGGGGCTTCCTGAGCCAGGTGCCTGGCCTGGAGCCAGGCCTCTGAGGCTCTCCTGGAGCCAGCTGCTTGTGAACCAGGTAGCCCATGACCCTGGCTGTGTGGGTTTTTCTGATCAGGCTCCTTCCTGTACTCACACGTGGTCACTGTCCCGTTGTTCTTTCCCTGCTAATGAAGCAGAAGGAAGGGCTGACTATGGCTGTCCTTTCTATGAGGTGCCTCGGCTGGCTGGGCCATGTGTTGAGTCTGATTCACGCCACTGCAGGGAGCCAGTGTGTGTGAGCCTGGGGCACCGCAGGGGCAGGGCGGGGCAGGGCTCGGGGTGGCTGAGTCATGTTTCCTGGGGAGAGGTGAGAAAGCGCAGGTGCAGGGAGGGGGACTGCTCTCTACACCAGGACGAAGGAAGGAATCGAACCACTGGATTAACATTTGATATAAAGTCAACTGGACATTCTTCCTCCATAAACTGGCCCAGCTTTATTTCAAGGAACTTTCTGAAAAAATAAATAAAACAGACTCTGGAGCTCTTACAAAAAGGTCCTTTGCTGGGTTTCAGGGGATGAGATGGGGCTACTGTTATGTGTAAGACACAACCAAAAATACTCATACATGGTCCTCGGGAGGGATGGAGGCTCAACACTAATGCTGGGTGCAGACAATGTGGACGCAGTTCTGTAAAGAGAATAAACCGAGGGCTGGAGGAGCTGGCAGGTGGGAGCTGCTCTTCCAGCTGTGAACAGCAGCCTCCTTTCCTTTTCTTTCCCAGCACCACCAACAGGAAGATGTGGGGTGAGCAGCTGCAGAAAGCCATCTCCCGCTCTCATAGGTACATTCTCTTGACCTCGGCACAGCTGGTGGGCGTCTGTCTTTATATCTTTGTGCGTCCGTACCATGTCCCGTTCATCAGGTAAGAACATTTAGTTTATAAGAATCTGGGGAACAGGGGGTTGTTATTCTTTGTGTTTTGTTCTGTGACTTCCTCCCCTCCTCCCCTCCTGCTACAGGAATCAGGACTTGCCATGATTCTAGATAAATGTAGCAGGAACCCCAAGGAAATGCTAAGCTGAACAGAATATTGTCTGGCAATTAAAAAGCCACAATGGGAAACTTCCAACTCAGGAAGCTGAACTCTCTTAGAAACTGTTCCATGATCGTCACCACCCAAGCTCAGTTCTGTGCAAGGAAAGGGGTTCCTTGCTGGAATTTTACAGGCAGGAAACCTCTGACCAAGAGCTGAGTAACCCATCAGGGAATGCAGGTTCTTTGTTTCTTTGTGAAAGAATTCTGAGTAGAATCTGTGGGTCTCTACCACAGTCAGTCCATTATTGTTTCTCCAAGGTGACAGCTTTGTGTGTATCAGAAAGGGGAAACCTTAGGAACTGCGTTTCCTTTTAGGAAAGGAGTGTGTGTTAAGATAGTGGAGGAGCTCACCTTTTCCCACTTTCTGACAGCCTCACATTGCTGGCTGGCCTTGTTCGTGGCACCAGAATTTCCTGCAGCCTTTCCAGTTGCTGATGCTGCGCAGGCGTTAGGCCGATCTTCCTCCTAAGCAAGGAGGTTACACCTGGTTGAGCTCCTCCGCATGTTGACACACCCGCAGGCGTACCCCTTGGCGGTGTCTGGACAGCAAGACTGCTCTGTGTTCCTAGTCCTCTTCTGTGACTTTCAGAAAAAAAGTTTACATCCATGTCCCTTGGATTGTGTTACTAGGCAGTCGGGCGGTGTCCCAAGTTAGTGGGTAAAGGTTAGCAAAGGGTAGGGTAAGGGCGGGGTTGGGGTAAAGGTTAGAAGGGAAGGGAGCCATGTTGAGGAGCTCCACCTTCCCCAGACCCGGCCTGAGGTCTCCACGCCTGCGTCCTCGGCCTCCCCCTGCTTTTCCCCGCTTGTGTAGCGCGCAGCCCTCTGGCAAGTTACCTCTTCACCTGTCTACCGGGAGCAGGTGCACTAGCAGGCCTCAGTCTGTGGCGTAGTCATGGAAATGTTACAAAATTGCCTGCTGGTGCACCTGCTCCCCAGTAGACCGGTGAAGGTGACGACCTGCCAGGGGTCTGCACTACCCAGTTAGCTCAGTTGTTACAGGCTCATCGTATGCATTGTAAGTTGGCATTGCATAAAAGTCAGTTCGAGGCCACCTACCAGCCTAGTTCCTAGTTCTTAAAACATCTTGATGCCTGGAGGGTAGCTCCTGCGCTTTGCATGAGAGCTAGAGAGAGGGGAGGGAAGGGACGGAAGGGAGGGGAAGAGAGGGGATTAATCATGTTCCTGCTGCCCCTGCTGACATGGGACATGGGCAGAAGCAGGGACTGCTGTGTCTCTGGCTTCTGGGGTGCTTGTTGAGAGTACAAAGCACCTGAGAGCCAGGCTATGGAGACGATGCTCCATAGCCCACAAGGCAGCTGTCACCAGCGAGTGGAGGTGGCCTCCTGCCTGGTGTCAGCGGTGGTCACATTGGTTGCCGTGCTGCTGGGCTGCGGAAGATGTGGTTGAATTCTGAGCTGATGGCTTTGGAGTTCTCACAGCAACTGCTGCCGGCTCTTCTCTAGCAAAACAGCTTGATGCTTGTCCTTCGGGCCACTAAGAAGCCCACAGAATGTGCGCATCCTTGTGTTCCAGGGACGTGGCGATCGACACCGTGAAGACAGGCATGGGGGGAAAGGCGGGCAACAAGGGCGCCGTCGGCATCCGCTTTCAGCTCCACAGCACCAGCTTCTGCTTCGTCTGCAGCCACCTGACGGCCGGGCAGTCCCAGGTGAAGGAAAGGAACGAAGACTACAAGGAGATCACCCAGAAGCTCTGCTTCCCAACGGTGAGCGGCCGCAGCAGCCTCCCTGCTCAGCTCAGTCCCAGCGTGGCTTTTTGAGCTGCTGTGATGAGCCAGACACTGGGGACACAGCCACAGGGAGGGTCCCTGCCATAGGGCCCAGCACTGGGGAGGGGGAGACAGCGGTGTCATTCCATGACCGGGGCTGGTGTGATAGAGGTCCTCCCGGGGAGGCCAGCCTGCAGCGCTCCGTCCCCCTCCTGTGTCTGCACGTTTCCTGAACGCCCTGTGCGCCCTAGGTGTTCTGATGGGCATTTTCCGATTCCCTAATTCAAGTGACAGATTGGAGAAAGAAAACCAACACGTTTATGCTTTGTCCAGGTGGTGAAGAACATTTAAATCGAAGCAGTATAAGTCTCCATTTTCTTGAGATTCACATTGAGGCTCACATAAGAACACCCTTTTCCATAGTCAGCGCGTCAGGACTAAGAAGCCTGGGTCCTCCCATCTGGCCTCGATTGCCAGTAACACCCATCATGCTGCCCTCTGGTGGCCGTCTGGAGGTTTTTCATTCTGCAGCCGGAGGCTTTCCTTTTCACATTTAGATTTTAATGTTCTTCCTTTGCAAGGACGATGCCCCCCACCCCGTGCCTTCAGCCTGGTGCTCACGGTCCCCACCCGTTCCCTGGAGTGAGCATACGCTCCAGCTGTTCTGACCGCAGATGCTTCAGTGTCTGAGAGGTGGCCGTTTGGGTCACAGAGCTCTTCCCTGGGAGAACAAAGTCCTTAAAACTGACATCCTGGGCCGGCCCCGTGGTGCACTCGGGAGAGTGCGGCGCTGGGAGTGCAGCGACGCTCCTGCCGCGGGTTCGGATCCTATATAGGACTCACTGGTGCGCTCACTGGCTGAGTGCGGTGTGGGCGACGCCACACCAAGGGTTGCGATCCCCTTACCAGTCACGAAAAAGACAAAAACAAAAAAAAAACAAAAAAAAAAAACTGACATCCAATCTACTGGGCTGCACAGTACCCAAGGCAAAAATTCCTTAGTTCTCATTAATAAGTGCCATAATCTTTGTTGTAGTTTTTATTTCTTGAGTTAAAGAAGAAACAAATAAATGAGTTGGGAAATTTTCAGTTAACTTGTAGTTAAAAAAATAAGTCCAGGGCCAGCCCGGTGGCACACTGGAGAGTGCGTGGCTTGGGAGCGCGGAGGTGCTCCTGCCGAGGGTTCGGATCCCATGTGGAGACCGGTTCCCGCTCACTGGCTGAGGGCGGTGCGGGCGCAACACCGAGGGTTGCGATCCCGTTACCGGACAGTAAAAAAGACAAAAAAAAAAAAAAGTCCAACCCTTCTCACTTAAAAAGTGCTATTTTGTAATAGTGAACTTGGGATACATTCCAAATAATGAAGGTGTTTATGATATAGCCCTTTGTTTTCAACAGAAATATTGAGGGTACCTATAAATTAGTACACTACACAGGTGGTGTCCAATACAGTAGTCACTAACCACAAGTAGCTATTTAAATTAAGCTAAAGAAAACAAAAAATTCCTCACTAGCACTGGCCACATTGAAAATGCTGAGTGGCTCCCACACTGGACAGTGCAGAGAGAGAATGTTTCCATTGCTGCAGAAAGTTCCATTGGACAGTCACTCGTTTTATTTGGTTGTGATCATTTTAATCTGTCCAGGTTACTGTTGTGGGGTGGGGGCAGTGGGAATGCCACCCGGTGTAGGAGAACAGGAGCAGATTTGGGAGTCAGGCAAATCTAAGTTCAAATCCCATCTTGATCATGCACCAAGGGTGTAATCTTCAGGAATTTGCTTTGTTTCTGTTTTTTGTTTTTTAAACTAAAAGAGAGCCAACAGTTGTAGCAATAAAACGACCAAGTGCAATGACTTGATTTAATAAAATCATGTGTTAAAAGTTGCTGCTATGAATATTCTTAGCTATAAAAATTTACCCTTGTTTTAGCCTAAGTTGCCTTCAATACTTATGATGTAATGCAGTTGATGTTATGGTAATCTAACCCTCCAAAAAAAGAAAAATATATGGGGAATCTCTCTAAATAGTATACCTCACTGACTTATTTACATGTGCTATAAAAAAAGCATACTTCTCCCTCTAAAAGAAAAATTAATAAAAAATTATTTTATTGCCAAAAAATCATAATAATAAAGTAATAAAAGAGAGCAGATAGGATCTGCTTTGCAGGGCCATTGTGAGGAGTGTGCACCTGGAACAGCTCAGCCTGGAAGACAGTAGATTTGATGCAGCACAGCTGCTGTTGTTCTTGGGATTCCTGAGAGTCCTGATTCCCTGGCAGGAGAGAGAGACAGATAGAGGGCGGGGATCCCCAGAGCCATCTAGGGCTGAGCTGGGGACCAGGGGCTCCTGGTGACTGGGAGGACGAGGAGAAGTGGAGATCGTATGGAGGGCCACCCGGTGAAAGTGTGTACAACTCATGGAGCTTGACGAAGTCGCACGTTCTGAGCACTTATGTTGCCCTTCTGAAACCTCACTCCCCTAACACTGAATGTTTGGGCAGCCCATTTTAGGCTGCAGGCGTAACAAAGCAAGAGCACGGTCTGCCCGCAGGATCGGGATCGGGATCGGGATCGCGATCGGCAGAGTAAATGCTGCCCGTCTTCCTTCCTTAGTTAGAGTTGCAGCTTGCCCCACACCACGCACAAACACTACTACTTAAAACCAAAGAGTAAGCCATGTAAAAATTCTTCAATAGGTTTATGGGATTAGTGAAAAGTGAGATGCTCTAGTAGCAAACTTTTAAGTAACTTTTTAAGAGAAATGCTTCTGCCTGCCCCCGTCTGGTGAGCATGCTTTGCTCCTCTCCTGCCTTCCCTGTGACATGCACTAGGATGATGGTGATTTTCTTTACAACTTAGGGAAGAGATGTTTTTTCTCACGACTATGTGTTTTGGTGTGGCGATTTCAACTACCGCATTGATCTTACTTACGAAGAAGTCTTCTATTTTGTTAAACGCCAAGACTGGAAGAAACTTCTGGAATTTGATCAGCTACAGCTACAGAAATCAAGTGGAAAAGTAAGTTGCACTTTTAGGATAATTTTTTTAGCAGCTGCTCCAGTGTGGAATGACATCTACTGCATGTCTGCATGAGTGTCCAGCAAACCGAGTTCCATGAGTGGAATTTAACAGTGTTTCTGATATTGTAGGAAACACATGGGGCATGTGACATTACAGAAACAGGAGCGTCTGTTCACACACACATGTCCTGTCTCTCCTTAACCAGGCTCTGGCTGGCCACATCTGGGATCTGTGTGTCTTCTATGGCTGGAGGGCCATCTCTGAGGAAGGCACATCTGGAGGCTGTAAGCCGGCTGTAGGTGCTAACAGCAACCAGGTGTCTCTGCCAGGCCGAGAGCGTGCGCCCCCACGGTCGGAGGGGCGTTTGTGACTTTACTGTCAGACACGCTGAGACCTCAGTTCCTCTGTCTCACCAGTGAGTAGGTGGCTGCATTCAGCCTGAGTCTCAACTGCCTCTGAGTGGCCCTGGTGTCAGCATCCGAGCACATCGCTGTGAGGCTGAGTGCTGATGTACACAAGGCCACGTCCACCAAACCAGCCCACCTCCTCGTACAAGACTTTTTAGGGACTGTTTTAATAAGCCACCGACTGACTCTTTGGACTCTGCTTAAAATACTTAATTTTGGCAATAAATCTATTTCTTGTTGGCAAAAACACAAATCATAACAGTAACTAATGTATTTTACATACCAATTTGTACACATAATCCTCAAGATTGCCCTACACATTAGGTGTTATACTCGTTTTATAGACAAAGAAAACTGGGGACAAAGTCACATAATGTATCCAAGGTCATTGAGCCAGGACACAGAACCATGATTCAGTCCAGGACTGTCAGACTACAGAGCTCATGTGTTCCCCCTACACGACCCGTGGGCAGGTTTCCAGTGGCTCCGCAGGCCGTGGCATAGAGAAGAAAGACCACACTGGGATGTGTCTTCAGTTTTTCAAGGTCTCACCAGCCAGCGTCCAGGTCACCTGGGTTTATGTCCTCCAGCTGATACTGGTGGCTTCTGTCAGTGCCTGTCCGCTTCCTGGCAGGATGGGCTGAGAGGAAGGAAGTGCGTCTGAATTCTATTTACCTTTGGAACACCTCCCCAGCACAGGTGTTCCTTTCTTCCTCCTGCCAGTCTCCTCGCGCCCTCCCACTGGCCCTCTGAGAGGCCATGTGCACATCTGTCCCGGCCAGTCCAGAGCTGGACACGCAGCGGAGGGCTCGCTTCCACTCTGTGCCTTCCTGTACCCCATTCGCTTAGTTAATGCGTTGATCAAGGCCTTGCTAGGTGGGGGCCAGGCATTGTAGCAGGCCTGGGACAGCAGCAGCAAGCACACCTGGTCCCTGCCTCGTGCCTTCACTGTCCCCTGGGGGCCACACGAGGACATGGCTAGCACAGACACTGGAGGGGAAGATACAAGGTGGTGTGTCTGGCAGCGGGAGGAGTAGATCAAACTGTTTTGCTAATTAAGAGACACATGTTTAGTTATAGACACTTGCAAATATAAAGTTACTCTTTAAGAATCAAGCACTCTGGAATGTGTTTTTGTATGTTTCATTTTTTCATATAACATACAGGATCTTGGAGAAGTAAGGTGGTCTTGTGACTTCTTTTTCTCCCAACAGATTTTTAAAGACTTTCACGAAGGAACCATTAATTTTGGGCCCACCTACAAATATGACGTTGGCTCTGCCGCCTATGATACAAGTGACAAGTGCCGCACGCCGGCCTGGACGGACAGGGTGCTGTGGTGGAGGAAGAAGCACGCTTCTGATAAAACAGGTGAGGGGCGACGTGCACGGCTGAGAGCTGGTGGGGGGTGGGTGACCGTCACCATCGGGAAAAAATGTCACATCTCTTCAGCCCAGTGCTCTGCTATAGAAATCACAATTTTCTTGGTGTATCAGTCTGTTTTTGTTGCTTATAACAAGATACCTGAAACTGGGTGATTTGTAAAGAAAAATGACGTTATTGCTTACAGTTTCTGAGGCTGGAAGTCTGAAAATCATCTGGTGGTGGTGACAGTGACCCAGGGGTCTCACATTGCAAGATGGTGGAAGCTGAGAGAGCAGAGAGGGAGAGAGAGACAGACTCAGAACCACGCCCCTGACCACCATTTTTAATCAGATCACTAGGGCACGGTCCTACAATCCAATCACCTCTTCAAGGCTCCACCTCTCAGTTACCATAATAGGATTTCCCACCCTCTTAACAGTCACAGTGGGGGCCAAGTTTCTAATACATAAAACTTAGGAGACAATTCAAGCCTCAGTGAGTTTTGGGGGACATAATTCAGTCCACTACACTTGGCCACCCAAAATGACACACAAGTCATTGCAGATTTAATCCTTAAGCTCTGGAATTTGTGCTCTGGGGCCCTCCCCCGTGGGCCTCTTTCTGAGACCATGACCTGCAGGTGATCTGCTCCGGCTCTCCACCCTGCTTCAGGGCTGTCCCCTGCCACACCCCACCTCTGCCAGTTTGTTCTGGGAGGGGAAAGAGGATCGAAGGATCAGGATGCCTCTCCCTCCCCACACTCTCACTCCCTCCTGCACTTTATCCAGCCCATTTTGTTCAAACTTAACATGAGCAAGACACAGTAAAAATAAAAATTGTTTTTTATTAATTAGTTGTCAAGTATGATCTGAGTAATTTTTGATGCTCTGCTAGGAAGCGAAGTTTATAATAAGATTAGGACACCTATAACTAGTACGTGAACAATGATTACACATTTTGGGAGAGATGCCTGGTGAGATTTCGAAGTCAGGAAACTACATCTGTGGCTAGAAAAGATGAGTTTTCCTTCAGATAAGTTCATGAGCATTTGCACAGCCCCAGCGCACTGTGAGGTGGGGGCCAGAGTGAACCCTGTGTTCTGAGCCTCCCCATCGCTTTCTGTACACATGGCTGCAGACTCCCTGTAATTCCTGGGGCCCTGGGGGCAGAAACCCCGCAGCAGCCAAGTGTGTGTCCCAGGCCCTCTGTCAGTACACTGGGGAGGGCTGGAGGCAGTCATGTTCATTACTGTTTTGGGTAACCTATGAGTGAGGAATTTTTTTTTACTTCAGGCCCCAAAGCAACCAAAGCCCAGTTTCAAGCTCAAACAGGTAAATGAAGGAGCATGAGACACGAGGTGGCTGTGACACGGATCTCTGCTGTGGGTTTCCTAACCACGTTCATGTATACGTATTGACATGATTCTGTGTTACATGTGCGTCTCTCGAATGGGACCCCTGTGAGTAGCTGGAGAACTGAACCTCCTGGACAACGATCTAGATGCTGATGCCAAAGTCAGACATGCCTGGTCTCCTGGCGCCCTCATGTACTACGGCCGCGCGGAGCTGCAAGCGTCTGATCACAGGTACAGTCCTCGCTGTGACAGCACGTTCTCCTGTACTGGAGAAGGCAGCGTCTCCTCCTCCCGGTGGCCCATCGACATGCTGTCCCCATCAGAATTGTGTGTATGTGTGCGTGTGTGCATGTGTGTAAAATACACTAAAGAGCCTAGAAGAATAGAAATGTCTGTGTACTCAGCACAAACAATTAGTAAATGTGAGCCATCTGTCATGGCTCCAAATCATGAAAATTCCAAAGACATACAGTATTTTGTGGCTTTTATATTTTCTTAAATGATGTTGTTGCATGACTTGCTTTTTTATTACTTAATATTTTTGAGATATAATCATGTGGATGTTGTAGGTGTGGTTCATTCATTTGTAACTGCTGTCCAGTTTTCCACTAAATGTATCCATGGAGATTACCCCTTCACCTATTGATGAATATTTTATTCTAATATTTTGTTACTACAAACACTATAGGGTTTTAAATCTTCGATTCAGGTCTTTTAAATGCTCTGACCTGTGGGTTTGGCCTCCAGCATCAGGTGTAGAGGATGGAAAGGAAGTGGCAGGTGACAGGGGGAGGGAAGCAGCCTGTCAGCTTGGCGTGGGTGCCAGGACCTGCTACAGAGGGAGAGCGCCTTGCAGAGCATCTTAACAGAGACAGTAGCGGATGGCGTTTGAGGGTGTAGGTGATCTTCCCAAGGCTGCTGCCAGAACTGTCGGGTCCATTTCAACTTTTACAAGGAAAGAAATAAAGGAAAAAAAGGGTGGGGAACAGCTGGTCCGCCAATAGGTCTAAATCTTTAGATACTTCTAAATTCTTTAGATACCTATTGTTGTCAACCCATAGCTAGAAAAGAGCCTCGGGACATCTTCAGATGTATGACTTCAAGGTTTGCTAGTTTAGATAGTGTATTTAGAAACCTGCATTTAATCGATATTTATTGAGGGGCCTTATATGCCAGGCCNGATAGTGTATTTAGAAACCTGCATTTAATCGATATTTATTGAGGGGCCTTATATGCCAGGCCGTGTTGCTGGCACCAGGAATAAACAGTGGACAAAACAGACAAGACTGTGCTCCTGTGGGACCAGGGTGGTTGCGGGTCATAGTGGTGAGAAGTGGTTGGGTCCTCTGAGAGTCATCCAGGTTGTTGTGTGTATCAAGTCTGCTCGCTCTTGTTGTTGAGTGAGTAAAGTTGCCCGCCTGCCGCCTCCTGCTTTCACCCAGACACGCCCGATGTGTCCATCACATGGGGCCTCTGCGAAAGTGTTGCTGCTGC